CATTCTGTGATTCCACAATTCTCTTGTCCTCCTGCAGCTTCTCCAGGGTTTTGCAGCTCTTGGTGCAAACTCTCCAACTCCTTGTTGAATAATCTGAGCCAGAGTTTAATTCCAAAGCTGCTCCTGTCCTGTGCATGGGGTGAGGTCCCTAAAACTCCTGTTCCCCTGTGAAACAGCACCAATATTTCTGCAGGGTTATGGTGGGATGGGGTTTGCTCCTGTGAACAAATCAGGCTCCTTCCTCTGCTTTTTGAACATCTCTGGAGATGTTCAGTAATTCAATTTTTAATATCTCTATTTTGAGGATCTTTTGAGATACTCCAAATCCATCTGGACACAATCCTGAATTCTCTGCTCCAGGGGACCCTGCTCGAGCAGGGAGGTTGGACTGGGTGCCTCCCTCCCAACCCCCCTCACCCTGGGATTGTTTGGGCTCCAGGAGATGCCAGAGTTGGGCTCTCAGGGGGCTCTGAAGGTCCAGACCTCCCCATTCCCTGACCCAACCCTTTGGCAGAGCACGCAGGGCAGTGGTGTGAGCTAAATCCCTCTTCACCACATGGATATTAATTTCATTTCCACACGGATATTTTATTTTATTAATTTATTTTCAATCTGTGCTGATCCTCTGCAGTGAAGCCCTTGGGAGGCTCCTCATCACTCCCCTCCAATGGGGGGTTAATGGGTGCAAAGAGGGATTTGCAGTGCAGCTGACAGCTCACAAAATGCAATATTTAACTCCCCTTCCTCCCCAGCTCGGTGTCAGGAGCAGGGATCCCAGGGACAGGAGAAAACTGGACCTCTTGGCTAATTATGAGTCATTTATTCTGAACCACACAAATTCTCCAAGCTGAATCCCAATTAAGACATTACACTACATGTGTTAATTAGTCTGCTCTCCTTTTTAAATCGAGCCATAACTCTTCCTAATTAGGAGGTCGGCCCTTGTAATTTGAACTGGCCTGGGCTGGAAGCACCCCTGGAAGTCACACCTGGGGGCTGGACCCGGGATCCTTTTAAATTGGTTGAGGTTTTACTTGGGTGATTATAAGGTCCCCGACAGGGCAGTAATTACAGAGGGTGCAGTTCCAAATTAAGATGTCAGGGGTGGTGTCAGCAGCGATGCCTTGGCTCTAAACTGAGCCCCGGGAGGCTGTGAGGATCTGCTGTGGGAGTGTCCCAGCGAGGGCTCTCACGGATCACAGCAGCTTCAGCAGGGCAAAAACCAGCCCAGGAGCTGCCCCTGTGCACCCAGGGGTGATCAGAGCTCCAGGAGCTGCCCCTGTGCACCCAGGGATGATCAGAGCTCCAGGAGCTGCCCCTGTGTGTGCATCCAAGGATGATCAGGGATGATCCCAGCTCCAGGAGCTGCCCCTGTGTGTGCATCCAGGGGTGATCCCAGCTCCAGGAGCTGCCCCTGTGCACCCAGGGATCATCAGGGATGATCAGAGCTCCAGGAGCTGCCCCTGTGCACCCAGGGGTGATCAGAGCTCCAGGAGCTGCCCCTGTGCACCCAGGGATCATCAGGGATGATCAGAGCTCCAGGAACTGCCCCTGTGCACCCAGGGGTGATCAGAGCTCCAGGAGCTGCCCCTGTGCACCCAGGGGTGATCAGAGCTCCAGGAGCTGCCTCTGTGTGTACATCCAGGGGTGATCAGGGATGAGCAGAGCTCCAGGAACTGCCCCTGTGCACCCAGGGGTGATCAGGGATGATCCCAGCTCCAGGAGCTGCCCCTGTGCCTGCATCCACGGGTGATCCCAGCTCCAGGAGCTGCCCCTGTGCATCCAAGGGTGATCAGGGATGATCCCAGCTCCAGGAGCTGCCCCTGTGCATCCAAGGATGATCAGGGATGATCCCAGCTCCAGGAGCTGCCCCTGTGCCTCCAGGGATGATCCCAGCTCCAGGAGCTGCCCCTGTGCCTCCAGGGGTGATCCCAGCTCCAGGAGCTGCCCCTGTGCCTCCAGGGATGATCCCAGCTCCAGGAGCTGCCCCTGTGCATCCAAGGGTGATCAGGGATGATCCCAGCTCCAGGATCTGCCTCTGTGCCTCCAGGGGTGATCCCAGCTCCAGGAGCTGCCCCTGTGCCTCCAGGGATGATCCCAGCTCCAGGAGCTGCCCCTGTGCACCCAGGGATGATCCCAGCTCCAGGAGCTGCCCCTGTGCCTCCAGGGATGATCCCAGCTCCAGGAGCTGCCTCTGTGCCTCCAAGGGTGATCAGGGATGATCCCAGCTCCAGGATCTGCCTCTGTGCCTCCAGGGGTGATCCCAGCTCCAGGAGCTGCCCCTGTGTGTGTAGCCAGGGATGATCAGAGCTTATCCAGGGCAGTCCTGAAACAGGGCAGGTGTTACAGGGTGTGGAGCAGCTCAGCTGCTGCCCTGCTGGGACTTGCCACCTTTCCTTTTGGGACAGGTGACCTGCTGTCCTCCTTGGACAGGTCACCTTTCCTGCTTGGACAGGTGACTTTTCCTCCTTGGATGGGTCATCTTTCTTGCTGGCTCAGGTGACCTGCTCCCCTCCTTGGACAGATGAGGTGCTGTCCTGCTGGGACAGGTGACTTTTCCTCCTTGGACAGGTGACCTGCTGTCCTGCTGGCTCAGGTGACCGGCTCCCCTTCTTGGACAAAGCCTTGCAGGCTCCTGTGCCAGGCTCTGAGATCAGCCGTGCTCAGTGCAGCACAGAGCAGCTCAATATTGGAGAACAGAAGCTTGATTTTCACAGCACAAATTGATAGGATCAACTCTGTCTCGAGAGCTTATTAGTGAGGAGCTGAGATCCTGGAGGAGTTAAACTCTGCTGCTTGCTCTCCCCACGTCTCCCCAGGCTCCTGGCAGCTCTCAGCAGGGTGGGGAGGCTGAGGCAGGAGCAGGACATGAATTCCTTCTCCCCAGATGCCCCAGGTGTGCTTGGGGCCAGCGTGGACGTGGAGCTGAGGTGACCTGGGGCCCAAGCTGGCTGAGCCCCGTGCCAGGGCAGGGCAGGGCCAGCCCCGGGCTGGGAAGGGCTCCTGGCACCTGGGAAGGGTGGATTTGGATTGGGAGGGGTTTAATCCCAGGGATGTCACCACAGGGATGGATGATCAGGGCTTGCTGTTGTCTCCTGTACCTTCCCTGGCCAAGGAGAGCTCCTGTGTTCATCCCACGGGGAAGGAGATCGTGGAATATCCTGAGCTGGATCTGCAGGGATCATCCATGCAGCCCCTGGCCCTGCCCAGACCCCCAAAATCCCGCCCTGGGCATCCCTGGAGCAGTGTCCCAACGCTCTTGGAGCTCTGGCAGCCTCAGGCTGTGCCCATTCCCTGGGCAGCCTGGGCAGTGCCTGAGCCCTCTGGGGGTGGGTAAAATCCACCTGTCCCTAAAATCTAACCTCAACCTGCCCTGGCCCAGCTCCAGCTGCTCCCTGTGTCCTAAAGAACCCAGCAGCAAATCCACTCCCTCTCCACATTGCTCAAACACTGAACATTCCAACAAAACTCCCTGTCCTGGTGCTGGTTTATTTTCCCATTTTTTTCAGTTGAATGATAGGGATCCTTTTTGTAAATGGCTCTGGAATAAATCACAAATGATATTTTCCCCTTTGGCATTGGTAAACTGCCTGAGGCCCTGTATCCTGGAATATATTTAATATACCAGCTCCTACCAGCCAAATGTCCCAGTTTTCTGGTGCTAGTTCCATCAGAAGGGTCGCTTTTGGGTCATTACCAGAACCTGACCTGGCAGGATCTTCAGCAGTTTGGACTCATAAACTTCCCCCAGGAACAGGAAATGTCCAAACATCCTTTAACAAATGAAGGGCTCGTCAGTGCTGTGGCTTTATTCCCCTGTTAATGAAGCTGCCTGTGCCTTTCCCAGTGCCTTTCCCAGAGCTGTGGGGCAGGGTGGGGGTCACCTGCTGAGGACGAGGTGCCACCCCCTGGCAGTGCCCCAGGCCGGGCTGGGGGGACCCTGGCATGGGGAGGTGTCCCTGCCATGGCTGGACAGGGCTGGAGGGGTGTCCCTGGCACAGGGGAGGTGTCCTGCCATGGCTGGACAGGGCTGGGGAGGTGTCCCTGTCACAGGGGAGGTGTCCCTGCCATGGCTGGACAGGGCTGGGGAGGTGTCCCTGGCACAGGGGAGGTGTCCCTGGCATGGTTGGACAGGGCTGGGGGGATGTCCCTGTCACAGGGGAGGTGTCCTGCCATGGCTGGACAGGGCTGGGGAGGTGTCCCTGGCACAGGGGAGGTGTCCCTGCCATGGCAGGAGGAGGAGTTGGACCATTTGAAGGCTCTTCCCAAGCCAACCCATTCCATGGTTCTCTGAGGGGACTGTCAGCAGTGAGGAGAGGGGCCCAGCAGGCCCAGGTGAGCAGCAGTGTCCATGCGGGGGTGTCCTGCTCTCCCCTTTGGGAAGGATGAAAGTTTGACAAAGTCTCACAGCTGTGTGTGCTTGGCAGAAACATCTCTGAATGTAGAACCTGAGAAGGGATAGAGGTGGAAGCAAGTTTTGAGACAGAAGAACAATAGATGTCTGAATTGCCAATTGCTGAGCCAGGAAAGGATTTTTCATAAAATATCATGGCTACAGTGATGAGCTGTAGGTAAAAGTAAAGGTATTGATTGGTTGTTAAGATGCTCAGCAAAGTAAAATATAAAATGCAATGTAACCAGAACTAAAGGGTCTTCAGGCTGGCCTGCCCTGGCAGCTTCAGGCACGGCGCTGTCACCCACAGCCCGAGGCTGCTGGAGCATCTCCACAACAAACACGTTCTGAAGGGCTGCCTGGGCCCACGCGTGGCTGTGGGGCTGCGCGTGTCCCTGGAGCCCCTAACCCAGCCTTTCCCTTGCAGGACCCTGCAGCCTCTAACCCAGCCTTTCCCTTGCCGGACCCTGCAGCCCCTAACCCAGCCTTTCCCTTGCAGGACCCTGCAGCCTCTAACCCAGCCTTTCCCTTGCAGGACCCTGCAGCCCCTAACCCAGCCTTTCCCTTGCAGGACCCTGCAGCCTCTAACCCAGCCTTTCCCTTGCAGGACGCGGCTGCTGAGGGCCCGGCCCCGGATGCTGCTCCCGGTGCAAAGCCTCGTGTGCCTCGCTGCCTTTGGCCTGGCCCTGCCGCTGGCCATCAGCCTCTTCCCGCAGATGTCCGAGGTCAGTGCGCTCCGGGGGGACACAGCACGGCCCCTCTGCCTTCCTGGGGCCCTGCCCCACTCCTGTGGGCCTCCTTCCCTGGGGGAGGGGGTTTCTGTCCTCGTACTGAGCGCTCCAGTGCTGTGCCCAGCCCTCGGTTTGGGAAGGACTTTGGGAATGTTTGAGGGGGGACAACGAGGCTGGAGAGGGGCTGGGAACACAAACCCTGAGAGGAACCCCTGAGGGAGCTGGGGGTGCTCAGCTGGAGAAAAGGAGACTCAGGGGTGCCCTCCTCACCCTGCACAGCTCCTGGAAGGTGCCTGTGCTCAGCTGGGCTGGGCTCTGTCTGCAGGCACTGACACAGCCAGAGCACACAGCCTCCAGCTGTGCCAGGGGAAATTCAGGCTGGATTTTAGGGAAAAGTTTTTCCAGCAAGGGTGATAAAGTTCTGGAATGGCTGCCTGGGGAGGTGGTGCAGTCCCCATGCCTGGGGGTGTTTAACAAAGCCTGGATGTGGCACGGGGGGCCAGGGTTTAGCTCAGGTGTTGGGCTGGGCTGGACTCCATGGTCTTTACGGTCTCTTCCAACCTTGTGATTCTGTGAATTCTGTGTAAAATTCTGTGAATATCCCTCTCCTGAACAGCACAGCTTCACCGGGCAGGGGAAGGCCCCTCTCCCTCACACTGGGGTTTCCTTGGGGTTAAAATATTGACTCCAAGCTCTGTCCATGAGGCCAAGAGCCTGGACACACATCTGAGGGGGACGCTCTTCCCCAGAGCTTCTCTGAGGGCTTTTTGCTTTCTCATCTCCTGGGAAGACCCAGCCTGGGGGTGAGCAAAGGAAAACCAGCCAAGGAAACAGGGAATGACCAATGCAGTCACTCAGACCAATTTAGTTGAACAAATTGCTCGGGTGGGTTTATTTTAAGGCTTTAATTTTGGTGATTGGAGCTTTTCCTGGCTGTGAATCTGTGCATTTCCAGAGAAGGTCTCTGTTCCTAAGGGAGGAAAAAAAGGGCTCTCTCACGAGGTTCTTTCCCTGTCAGCTGGATCAGGAGTTTGTATCACTGTCTGCACGTGAATTCATATTTTTTTCAGTCTGGATGGGTTTATCCATGACTTCCAGCCAGGGAATCTTGCTGTACACTTGTGTGCTGACTGACAAACACGTTGGGAATTCTCTGTTGTCCTTCTTGCTGTCTCCAGGCTGAGAGAAAACTGTCCCTTCTCTCTAAGAACCTGAATTTATCTCAGTCTTGGAGCCTCTTGCTAAAAGACGTGTTTGCTGAAGCTTTAATGATTCATATGGCTCTTCCTTAAACTTTTTCTAATTAGTCAACATCGTTTTTGGAGCCCTTCCATCAGGAGCAGACACAGCGTTGCAGTCAGAAGCTGCAGAAGCCCCAGTTGCAGGAGCAATGTGATTTCCCTGCCTCTCCTGGGCTCTGTGCATCCCCAGAGCCTGGCAGTGCTTTTGGCAGGAGCTCAGCCTCAGCTCCAGGCCATCAGCTCTGAGCTGAGCCCGACTTCTGCTCCCAGGCTGGGCTTGGGGAAGGCTGGGGAGCGCTGCCAGGTCTCACACCTGCTCAAGGTAGGGCCTGGAGCACGTCCAGCCTGCCCGTGGGAAGGAGGCTGGGGCACACAGCATCCCTTCTGCTCCTTGCCCAGGGAATCTGAGCGTTTTTGGGGCTGGAAAAGCCCTCTGAGATCAACGAGTCCAACCATCCCCAGCACTGCCAGGGCCACCACTGCCCCTGTCCCCAGGGGCCACAGCCACAGGGCTGTGAAACCCCTGCAGGGATGGGCACTCCACTGCCTGACCACCTTTTCCAGGAAGAATTCCTTCCTAATATCCAGTTTGAGCCTTCCCTGGTGCAATTTTCCTGGAAATTTCCAATTTCCTCCCTATTTCCAGGAAAAATCTTTCAGGATAATCAGGGAAGCAAGGCCACAGCAGGTACCACCAACCTCATTTATCCCAAAGGAGACATTGCCACTGTTCCTCCAAAATCCTGGCGTTCTAAAATGGTTTGGGCTGGAAGGACCTCAGAGACCCTCTCGTGTCCTGCCGTGACCAGGGACACCTCCCTCTGGAACTGTGGCTTTCTGGGTGACAGATGACTTCTCCTGTGCAGTACCTGGTATTCCAGCAGGGAGAATCTCCTTGATTTCAGGAGCTGAGTGAACTCTAACCCACAGGGGAAATTCAGGAGTGCTTTTCCTCGGGGGATACTGGGATTGCAGGCAGCAGGCAGCCCTGGAAGCGACGGCGTCGTCGGGAGTGACCTTGTGCAGGCAGTGAGATGTTCTCAGCACAGTAAACATGAATCAGCCCTGCTTGGGGATCAGACAGGATGACGTGGGCTGCCCACACACCCTGCCAGGGAAAAGGAGCCCTCCCAGAGCCTGCCTGGGCTCTGCCTGCTGGCATCCAGCTCTGCTCCACACACAGAGAGAGCCCTGCACAGCTGGATCCCACATCTGCTCACACCACGGGCGCAGGAGCTCCACGGGCAGCCAGGGCTGATCAGTCACAGAATCCTGGAATGGTCTGGATCAGGAGACACCCTAAATCCCACCCAGTGCCACCCCTGCCATGGCAGGGACAGCTCCCACTGTCCCAGTTGGGTCCAGCCTGGCCTTGGACACTGCCAGGGATCCAGGGGCAGCCACAGCTGCTCTGGGAATTCCAGCCCAGCCCCTGCCCACCCTCCCAGCCAGCAATTCCTTGCCCAGATCCCAGCCCAATCTCCCCTTGGCCAGTGGCAGCCATTCCCTGTGTCCTGTCCCTCTGTCCCTTGTCCCCAGTCCCTCTGCAGCTCTCCTGGAGCCCCTGCAGGGACTCTGAGGATTCCCTGGATTTTTCCCTTCTCCAGGGGAACATTCCCAGCTCTGCCAGCCTATTTTCCCATTATGTTTGCATTTTCTATTAACATGTGAGTGTTTCTCCAAAATCTCTTTGGAGGTTTCTGTGGGGATCCTCAAGGGAGCAAAGCGAGTGATTTACCTGGACCAGTCCCTCTAGATCCATTTCTGGATGGGAAATCCAAGTCTCCTTGCAGGGAGTGTTTCTCAAAACCTGTGAATTTTTGGGCATTCCTCACCAGACCCTGAACTTCAGCAGTTGGGCTTGAAGACCTTGGAGTCTTTTCCAACCTGAATGATTCCACGATTCTGTCTTGTCAGAGGAGGAATGCAGAGGTGTTTAAGCACTGATCTCTGTGGGAATGTCTTGGCTTTCCCCATGGCCTCGGTGATGGGCACAGCAGGACAGGGCCAGGCTGTTGTACCAAATCAGCAGCAAGGTGTGGAGACGTGTTCTGTTCCAGAAACGGGGCTGTGCCGTGAGCAGCAGCCCCTGCAGGAGCTGTGAGTGAGCCAAGTTCTGCCCTTGCTCACACACTCACAACCTTTGGTAAGTCAGGAGCAAACACAGAGGCTGATGTGTCCTGGAGTGCTTGTTTTGGGCCTGGAGTTTGTGTGGCCACCTTTGAGCCTCTCTCCTGATGGGGCTCAAACTCACGGTTGGTTTTGCAGCAGAACTGAAGCCTTGCAATAGGTTTAATGAATTTGCTGGGTAAATGCAGCCACCTTGCCCCATCAGCTGTGGCTGCTCTGGAGTTACTCCTGTGTTACAACAACTCCAGTGAAATCAGAGCTCAGATCTGGCTGCAACCAGTGTCAGGGAAAGGGAACTCTGGAGGTGAGCAGCCTCCACGTGCTGCCAAGGTTAATGCACCCTGAGCCTTTTTTGGGTCCGTATCCAAGCCCTGGGTTTGGTAGGGATGAATTTCCACTTGGATTTCTGCAGCGGGGCTCCACAATCACAGCTTGTTTCTGGATATTACGGCTTTAAAGAGAACATTATAAAAATAAACCCCTCGTATCAGCCATGAAACCATGGATCCATGGGAATACTCACGCTGGAGCTGCTGAGAAACGTTCTTGTCATCCCAGGATTGTGTTAACTGTGCTACCTAAACCCATCAATATGCATTGAGTAATTCACTGCTGTTAAGTTTAGGAGAAACATGTAGTTAATGCATTTAGCCCACAACCTCCAACTGCCTCCCATGCCCCCCGGGGAATCTCTTCCCTCTCCCAATCCCGCAGCATCCCCACTGACAACTCCTACTCAGCTATGCACTGCCAATGGAAACAGCTGTGACAGCTCCAAACCGAAAATGGGACTTGTGCAAATGAAATTCAGTGTAGCAGCAGAAGAAAGAGCCACGGGGTTGCTTCTCTGCCCCGTGGGCCCTGCTCCTGCAGAGCGTTCCTCCAGCAGATCCACCAGGAGCTCGTGTCACCCCTGCCCGCAGGGATCGGGCACAGAGGTGGACAGGGCCAGGTGGGAAAGGGAGAAATGGAGCTGGGCAATGGCACAGGAGCCTTCGACCACCTGAGCACTCCTGCCCTCACCTGGGGGAAGTTCAAAGGGTGTTTTAGGGTGATGCTCAACGCGACTGGAGGCATCTTCCAGAACCAGGATGGTTTCAGCCTTTCCTTAAAAATAATCTTCCTTTTGGATCTCCAGGACAAGGGGAATAAACAGCCTAAAATCCAAGGCTGAGCTATTGTTTTCCAATCTGTTTTAGCCTTCATCTTGTTGGCAGGCTGCTTTAGAAAAGCAAAAGGTTAATGAGCCAATGTGCAGTGGGATTATTGCAGTAAAGATGACAGTGAACCAGTAATTACTAATTAGATGCAGTTTAACAGGAGGAACAAGTGAAATCTCCTCTTCACCAACTGTCAATAATTAGCAGATTTGGTGAGGTTGAAATGTGTCCACAGTTAAAAGGCTGATTTTTTAATGAAATGGCACTTGACAAAAGAGCTGTATGGAGGTCACAGCCATAGCCCTCGAGACGCTTCCCCATTCCATACTTAGGAGGGAAATCAGATGCAATCCAGCAGGGGGTCCCCACGGAACCATCCCTCCCTTGGGATTGCTTTGCACGGGGGGGAGGGGAGCAGGAGGGATTCTCTGCAGTAATTTTGTCCAAGTTGGATGAGAAGCCA